TCGGACAGTCGCCCTTGTTTGTTTGTTGTTGCAGGCGGCCTTTTACGACAGTCATCCTCATGTGTTTCTTTTTTCAGGCGCCATTTAGACAGTCGTCCTCGTGTCTTTTTTGCTGTATGCGCCCTTTACACAGTCGTCCTCCTGTGTTTCTGGCTGTAGAGGCCATTTAGACAATCATCCTCATGCGTTCCTGGTTGTAGGCGCCCTTTAGACAGTCATCTTCATGTGTTTCTGGTTATAGGCGCCCTTTAGACAATCATCCTCATGTGTTTCTGGTTGCAGGCGCCCTTTAGACAGCCATCTTCATGTGTTTCTGGTTGTTGGCGCCCTTTAGACAGTCATCCTCATGTGTTTCTGGTTGTAGGCGCCCTTTAGACAGCCATCTTCATGTGTTTCTGGTTGTTGGCGCCCTTTAGACAGTCATCTTCATTTGTTCCTGTTTGTAGGCGGCCTTTATTCAGTCATCTTCATGCGTTCCTGGTTGTAGGCGCCCTCTAGACAGTCATCTTCATGCGTTCCTATTTGTAGGCGGCCTTTATTCAGTCATCTTCATGCGTTCCTGGTTGTAGGCGGCATTTATTCAGTCATCTTCATGTGTTCCTGGTTGTAGGCACCCTTTAGACAGTCATCTTCATGTGTTTCTGGTTGTAGGCGGACTTTAGACAGTCGTCCTCATGTGTTCCTGGTTGTAGGCAACCTTTATTCAGTCATCTTCATGCGTTCCTGTTTGTAGGCACCCTTTAGACAGTCATCTTCATGCGTTCCTGGTTGTAGCCGCCCTTTAGACAGTCGTCCTCCTGTGTTTCTGGCTGAAGAGGCCATTTAGACAATCATCCTCAGGCGCCCTTTAGACAGCCATCTTCATGTGTTTCTGGTTGTTGGCGCCCTTTAGACAGTCATCTTCATGTGTTTCTGGTTATAGGCGCCCTTTAGACAATCATCCTCATGTGTTTCTGGTTGTTGGCGCCCTTTAGACAGCCATCTTCATGTGTTTCTGGTTGTTGGCGCCCTTTAGACAGTCATCCTCATGTGTTTCTGGTTGTAGGCGCCCTTTAGACAGCCATCTTCATGTGTTTCTGGTTGTTGGCGCCCTTTAGACAGTCGTCCTCATGTGTTTCTGGTTGTAGGCACCCTTTAGACAGTCATCTTCATGTGTTTCTGGTTGTGGGCGGACTTTAGACAGTCATCTTCATGTGTTTCTGGTTGTTGGCGCCCTTAAGACAATCATCCTCATGTGTTTCTTGGTAGGCGCCCTTTAGACAGTCATCTTCATTTGTTCCTGTTTGTAGGCGGCCTTTATTCAGTCATCTTCATGCGTTCCTGGTTGTAGGCGCCCTCTAGACAGTCATCTTCATGCGTTCCTATTTGTAGGCGGCCTTTATTCAGTCATCTTCATGCGTTCCTGGTTGTAGGCACCCTTTAGACAGTCATCTTCATGTGTTTCTGGTTGTAGGCGGACTTTAGACAGTCGTCCTCATGTGTTCCTGGTTGTAGGCAACCTTTATTCAGTCATCTTCATGCGTTCCTGTTTGTAGGCGGCCTTTATTCAGTCATCTTCATGCGTTCCTGGTTGTAGCCGCCCTTTAGACAGTCATCTTCATGCGTTCCTGTTTGTAGGCCGCCTTTATTCAGTCATCTTCATGCGTTCCTGGTTGTAGCCGCCCTTTAGACAGTCGTCCTCATGTGTTCCTGGTTGTAGGCAGCCTTTAGACAGTCGTCCTCATGTGTTCCTGGTTGTAGGCGCCCTCTAGACAGTCATCTTCATGTGCTCCTGGTTGTAGGCGCCCTTTAGACAGTCGTCCTCATGTGTTCCTGGTTGTAGGCAGCCTTTAGACAGTCGTCCTCCTGTGTTCCTAGAGGTTTCGAGGTTATAAAACTGAAAGGAAACAAATTAATAAACCACTTGTTTAGTAATCATTACATATTTCCTTGATGCTTTATTGTTTTCTTATTCCATTATCTAAGTGGGACGTATAACCTCCAAATATAACATGCACTTTCTGATAAAGGTTTGAAAGTTGGCACAAATGCACTTTTCTCGAAATACCATCATATCTAATATCTTAGTCCAAATCACCAGTGCCATATTGCAAATGTTATTGAAATGTGTATGACTTTTCACATTTACCCGCACCACCATTTTTAATTTTATATTTATCTATATACTTCCACAAGGAAGGGGATATAAATTTCATTCCAAGGTCGATTTTAGACAGATAAGCTAGAACAGCAAGTAAATTTTATTTGATAACATAGGACAGACTATAATTGTGTTGGTGGGCATCAGCTCAATAACTACAATCGATACACTACATCAGTGAAGTAGTGAAAGATAATATCTGTTACCCTGTAATTCATGAGCTACAACTTTTCAGGAGATTTTGCATTCAGTAATAATGATTATATAGAGAGTCAATATTTAAGTCACGAAGGCACAACATTATGCAAGTTGAACGACATGAAAGACAAATGCTTAAAATATTGCAACATAAAATACAAGGTGAAACATAAATCACGAGAATTGAAGTACGGAAATCTAGTAGAACAAGATCTGTGCTGGTTGTCTAGTCACGTAAATACTGAATATCTCAGGGATAAAGCGAATAGGAAATTTCCAAATGCATGTTGCTTATTTGCATGTCTCATACTTTTATCAGGAATGTCAATGATGGGATATTTCCATACAGCTCACGCGTACATGCATGTGACAGCCCAACAGATAATTCTGACGTTTATATGTATATCTGTCATAATGTTAATTATTTGCAGTTAATCAACGATACCATAATTTCTGATAACAAAAAGAATACATCTTGCCTTAATTAAAACTATGATAAATGATGAACGAAGAAAGATACCATTTGGTACCACTGAAATACACCATTCCATGTTTTGACACATATTTACAAATCTCAGGTACACATTAATGTGGTGACCTAAACTCCATTCTAAACTTGGTCATAAGTTAATGATAACTCCCTCCCCTGGGGTATGGCATACTGCTTGCTACATTTATATTTAATGCGCTGGCCAGTCAATGTTGCTCTTTATAGCTATTTAGTAATTCTATTTTATATACAAAAACATGAATTTTCTATCTATCGTTCAAAAATATTTGGTCCCAGAACAAAGGCTGTGTTGTATGTCTATGTTATCTCATGCAATCAGTAACTATGAATGTGGAATTAGATGTCTGCATCGTTAATTCCTCTGAACCACTGGAGGTAAACACAGCACAGCTGTTCAAATATCTTTTCCATCAATGGTCAGTTTTATCAAACTCAATTTACATGTAATATTTTTTGCGGATGTTTTATGAAAAATACAAATCTATTCTTTGTAATTCTTGATAATGATAAAACACATAAAATATTTATGACTCAAAATAAAGGGAAAGCAGCATTTATCAACATACCGAATAAGTGTTGAAAAGTTGTTAACCTGGTCCTGCTGTTTAACAATTAAATCAAGCAGTGTAACACGAGGGAAATTTTATATGTCTAAATCTAATACACAAGCTTGTGAATAAGGAACCGAGTACGAATTTGTCTAACTTCATATGTCATACATATAATGCTTCTTTACATTTCATTTAAAAATATTTTATGATCAACTTTCTAGAGATAACACAGAACATTCATCATTAAAATCGTGTTGTGTATTTTTTTTAAAACTGTAAAATACATCAGGGGTTTGTGCCCTTGTGTATCTTGATAAGACAAAAATCATGTTTAAGAATATATATATAGTGATATATTTCATACAAGTTTTGTTTAAAGCGGATAGCCCTAATCATCTATGTAACATCAGTTTAGAACAGGACGTTACGATTCCGACCATGTCATACACGTGCGATGTCAAATTAATGCATGAACGTACATTACACAGACATGCACCATCTATAGATAAATTACTTTTGAATATTGGAATCGGTCCAAAAATATCTAAGATTAATTTGTATCCGTTATCATCCGGTATAAATCAATGCATCATTCATACAATCTTCTTATATGTGGAAAAATTCTTAATAAACTGTGTTCAATCCAGAAATATTATGTTTTACAAGAACAGATATCTACGTTTAAGGAGCATAGCTAGTACAAATCAAACGTAGCAGACATGTAAAAAGAATTGACTAATTTTAAATAAAAAATCTTATTTGGTCTTAGGACATACGATGGGCCCAAAAACAATACACAAACAAAACTAACTCCTCATGTTCAGTGTACAAAAAAACCCTATGAAGAAAATCCCGAAAACAAGTAAAAGGTAATGTTTAGATTCTGTCAATAATACCCAACACATCATTGTATATAGCAAATAGACATGTACAGGGCTCTTAATTCTACTTATTTACAAGCTTACAACACAAGTTCGCTAGTATTACAAATGTAACTGCATGTGGGTCGTTTCATCTGTCGGCACAAGCACACATGCATGATTGAAGATATGGGCATACGTGTAAAATCTAGTAATGTTAACCCTTAAATGGCCTCTGGATGGGAACGATAAAATATAACATATTGTGGGGCTTTTCTCTGCCGAAATATATGTAACAATAAATATGATAGTGTACATATTTAGATACAACAATTAAAGATAGCATACCAAACACGTTGTATTCAATTAAGTGTAAGACATGTAGATATCTACATTTACATTCATGTAGAGGGAAGCCCGCCTTCTCTAACGGCTTGTCGTTGTTATTGTAAAGATAACCTAGTGTTTGTTTACATCAGTGATATTGTTCTTTCGTTCAGATCCAACATGTTCCAGTCTGCAAAAGATGAATCGCATTAGAATACATTTATTATAATCTAAAACAGGGACAATCTTCATGTTAATTGAAGCTCACCTACAAGGTCTAGGCGCGGAGGGGAATTTCCATGACGTTGCTCTATAAATAGCTAATGGAAAGATACTGACTGGGAGGAACACTACTAACGTACACGGCAATCCGGCTTATATTGAAATCGGCGCTCAGTGCGAAAACACCGTAAACACCCAAGTATATTAAAATACATGTATAAAACCAACCCTTTTATTATCGACAAATAATTAAGAAATGAAAGGTAATATGTATCCTAGTTTAGCCGATGGTGCCGAGGGCGAAGGAGAGACGGACTATATTTTCCCGAGAGGCCCAGGATCTGGGGGACACATGGCTAATGAAGTGACCGTGGTTTCAGTGGTGAGTCAAATAATTTAACCTTTTTTGTGATTAACACTTTTGTTTTATTAACAAATTAAAAATCCCCTGAAGTATTTCAATGAAATCAAAATATGCGAATGAGACACTTGGGAACAAACGTTATACAGGAATAAATGTATTTAAATTGAAAATTATTATCAAGAAATTACATCGTGTATTTATCAACATGTTTTTGATAGAAAAGTTCAGTGGTATTTTCTATATTTTTCGGTTGAATATTGCGTTTGTTTTAACTTAACTGGTTCTTACAATACCGTTCGATTTTGTAATAAGGAATGGTTCTGTCATATCTTGAGTGGAAATGCTCTTCCTTCAGTCAACTTTCTGGTTAATGAAACCGGTTTACTTAAGTGACAAAAGTGGAACAAATCCTTTTACTTAGGAACGGAAACGTTAAAATAATCTTTCATTCTCAATAGATTCTTTCAAGCGGAGTTTTTTTCATTGTCGCATTTGATTAAATGTGGCGCGCTTTTAAACGGTCTTACTATTCAATCTGTATTTCTATAGTAAGTTTGCATCCTTTTAAAGGTATAACGTTGCTACATAAGTCCTTGTCATAATTTAGCATCAGATATGCGATGTTTATTTCGTAATGATGTTATTTGAAATCCAAAACTTCCCGTAACACACCTCCGAATTCTATATTGTAGTGACGCGGTCCGACCACCTTTCGTTCTCTACATCAAAGATTAGGTTACACAATTCTCAGCATATCAAACGCATTGTGAAATTTATTTTATGGAAATATCTAGAATGTTAGCCAGATATGGCAGCTAATATAGATATAAACCACATTTCCTTTAAGTTTTACATCTGGGTATATCTGGAAACACTCGAACTGTCTATTATAGATAATAAAACCCACACGCCTTTATTTTATACCTTTTTTTACCTACATATTTCCCGGTATTTCCAAATCCGTGCCGATGATATACAATAAAGACGACCAGGCCGACTTTGTCAGCTTACATTCGGTAGATTGTCTGGAGTGACAGGACTTACATAGAAATTGATCGTGGAAAATTTTGCCGCCTGTCGTTAACGGTTTAGTGACACAGCCGCACGCGTGTCTAGATCAATCAAGCGTCCGTAAGGTTAGCCTAGTAACAACACAAGCAAACATTTAAAGTACACCTTTAGTTGATGTATATAAGAAATGTGCATGCGAGAATACATTATGATATTTTCTTTCTTTTGTTATTCAAGAAATATATCGGTGTTTGTTTTAACTCGATATAATAATGACTACGTACACAATAGAAATAAATGTGTTTTCATTTGAGTTTCCTTATTTGTATAACAAATACTTCTTAAAACACTATCAAATATCCTCCTCATATGTACATTACTCATACTCGGCCCAACCTTAAAATGGAACATTCATAGCATACCAGAGATTCCAGTGTATAAAGACCATGAATAGCGCGATTACCTAGCTTTAAACCTAAAGAAACCCCGTCACTGGTACCATGGAAACTGTTTTGTACATTTACACGAGAGTAAGATTTTCTGTGAACTCTGCAGGCAGCATCCTACAGAAGCAGAATCTCGCATTAGAGGAAGGATAGTAACTATGGTAACGAGGCGATAAATCACCGCGCGTGAATGCGTTTGTAGAACGGAAACGCGAGACAAAAAGTCTTCAGTGTAAACAAATAAAAACTTGCTTCAATACAAACAATGCATCCACGCACTCATACAAATATACATATACACATATAAATATTGACATTTCCTAGAACTGATCAATTCAGCATAAATATAAGACGGCAGGTTTTTCGAGGAAGTTAATATGATTCAAGCTTTGGTGTTTTTCCATTGGATGCGAGTGCGCCTGCCCAGGCGTTGATAAACTGTCAGAACACGCTCACATCCTGAGCAATTATATTTATGGTGATTCTCGTTTCCTTATTCGCAAAATTATTTGACACGTTAGAAAATTGCAATGTGTAGTACCAGCTAATTCATAATGCATTGTATATAACGTAAACCAATCTGAATGCTTTAATAAGTGCAGCACGTTTACAAAATTCAATAACGATAAGTACGTAGTGTTCAAACTGCAGCCATCGCTAGATCAATAATCGACTGCTGTTGTGAAAACAACTGAGTCTAGCAGTCGTCAAGGAAAGCGAATATCAGCGCGTGCTGGTAGATTTCCACAAACTTCTTCAGTGGCAAACAGCTGGTTATTGTTCTTCATCGAACGTTTTGATTGGTTCTTGGTGTCGTAAAGAATTTGCGTTAAAGTGTTAGAAAGGTAGATAGCGCCTTCAAGGTACACTGAGCATGTATGCACTGTTATCGCATCGACATCTTCTTTTAAAAATGGGCAACAGAAGTCTCAGTTTAAATATACATATACTGACTTATATTTCCTTAGGGATCCTGGTTTAAAACATTGCCGACATCTCAAATTACAGATGAGTGATTTCATTTTAAAAAGGTGATATTATTTAAAGGCATTTTCTGGTTTTATTAATCTGCATTTTGTCGGTATCAGTTTTACCGACATGTTTCTGCCAGTTTTAGACATATTTCATTTTTCTTAACATTTCACCTGTTTTTGTTACCGTTTGGGTATCACAAGAAGGTGTCTCTTTGTCATAAGTACGCAAGGTGAAATATACATAGTAAATGACCTATGTCGTGTTTGTGCCGCAAAGTTCAGTCCCCTCTTTAAACCTCTCCCTACCTAGAAACACAATATGTCACAATACACCTACCAGTGAAATGATTTTTTTTCTCTCTTGGGAACATCTCTGTTGATGAGTAAGTGGGTTTCTGGTTTGGTCGGTATGAGAGGGTTAATTTACCCAACCGTCAAGGTAATTAACAGACCGATATACTAGCGATGAGGGGAAAAACATGTTTAATGACCTAGGCAAAGAGCTTTAGATATTTAGATGAAAGATCCACCGGAAAAGTTCCAAGACATCTCCCATTGACGGAAAAATACATGATTTGTCTTTGCCAAAAATGTTCATCAATACATGAAAGTGTTAAGACAAGCTATTACATTGATTCCTTTGTATACACAAGCACCTTTCATAATTATGTAGGATGCAGACATGGCCAATTAGCTAATCATCAATTACTACTAATGTTTGGCGCACTGCTAACGTTTTATGCCTTGCTGCAGTTTTAATACGTGTATCTTCTAAGCCGAAATCGGAAGAAAATGTCCTAGATATAGGCCATTTAGCTCAGTTGTTGTAGATTATGATTGCTAATAAAAATAGATCAACAACAACAATCATTAGGTAATGAATAACACAATCGCAAAATCTTTCCTGTTCTTATCATGCATAAGTAATAAGATGACACAGTCACATATTAAAAACTTGCCTGGTACATATCGCAACACGAGGTGAACGAGAGAGGCACAGCCAGATATTGACTCACTTTATCTGAGTCAGCAGCTGTCTGCAACAGCTTGACATTAATAGTGTCAAAATTATACACTAGGGAAACAGAAAATAGCACACAAATACATTTAGATAATTTATAAAGAAATGGCACTGTTAAAACGCCAGCAAATTTTACACATCGATTTATAAAGATGTTATTTCTGCATTTATAAAATTGTTTCATTTCCTCTATTTTTTAGTCTGAAGTAAACGATCTTCCCGAGAAGTGCTCCGAGGGCACAAACGACAGTACAAGCACAAGCACGGGTAGCGGAAACGAAGAAGAAAGAGCTACTTGGGGTGGCAAACTCGAGTTTCTACTGACTTGTATCTGCTATGCTGTCGGTTTGGGAAATGTATGGCGATTTCCGTACTTATGCTACAAAAATGGCGGCGGTGAGTGAATGCTACAAAAATAACAGTAAATAGATTTATTTGCGCTGAAGAAAGAGGCAAGGCGACAGGATATCGATTTTTTGTTTCGTTTATAGAAATACCATTTTCAATGCCTGTAGCATATTGTAGACATAAATAAAACTCTCCTGGTAATTTTCCACTGGACCCATCCAATTTATTCATGTTTAATGTCATGGCTCAGTTGTTTTAGTTTTTTTTAAATGTCATTTTTGTGTCATGGAACGCGATGTGTAGGTTAGCGAGGCGGCAGTGGATCAATCGAAACTGCTCCAATGCATGAACTCGATTTACCCGCCAGCGTCACGGTTGACAACTTGTGCATGATAATACCAACCCTTTCTCTTTGACTAAATGTAATTGTCTTCAGTGAAAATCAGGCATTCAACATCGACTGTAATCCGAATCTGTGAGGACATACCGGTCACTTATATAAATTATGATTTATGTACATTGTGTTCATGCGAAAGTATTTCCATCCGGAAATCTGTCTTTTCCCGTTTATATACGATATCATTATAACCAGCGTGCCAACAGGAAGCATACTAACGGATATCCCTCCTTCTAAACGATATTCACGCAGTACGAAGACGTCACTTCATGCTCACAGCTGATATGTATGTGTGAATGTGAAAAAACAACAAATTGATCTGACATAAAATGAAAATAAATCACATGTTTAAACTTGTATGTTTGTTCACTCGCGTGAATTTAATACGTGTTTATGTTACAGGTGCCTTCCTTGTTCCGTATACCATCATGTTGGCTATTGTTGGACTGCCATTGTTCTTTCTGGAATTGGGCATTGGTCAATACGCCAGTTTAGGTCCCATCTCTGTGTGGAAAATGAACCCATTACTTAAAGGTAAATTGATTTGTTTGACATGGTCATTGAGCCAACTGTAGTATTTTTCGCTACAGAAACTACGAATATAGCAAAATAACTTAAGATAACCCAAGGTTTTTTGTTCCCATTTGCCAATTGCGCTGATCTAACAAAGATTTAAAAGCATTCTTACTAACGTTAAAGCTGTAAACAAAGTAACAGATGATTCAGACTTTCATTACATCAACAGTTTTAGATTAACAGCAAATCTGATGTACGCTATGTTTATTTTAATTGCAGGTTTAGGTTACGCTTCAGTGATTGTGTCCTGGCTTATTGGGCTTTACTATAACGTGATTATCTCGCACGTGCTGTTCTTCCTGTATTCGTCCTTTACCGATAAACTACCATGGCAAGATTGCGACAACGACTGGAACACTCCACACTGCATCTCCTTCGAGCAGCACGTGAATGGTAAGTGTTAATCAAAGTACACACCATAATATTACTACACTCAGTTGGAACTGACACAAACCTCCATCCCTGCCCCAGCCTTCTTTTAGAGCTAACTCACACGCCACAATAACGAGAAAGAGAGCTTCGATTGGAGGCCACTCTCTCTTGTTGTAAAACATATCATTGTTTCGTATGTACCCGTCATTACTTTATCTATCATACGTCATCGCTTTCCATGGTCCCATTTCTACTCGGTGGTTTGTGTTCCTTCTGGGTTTAGGAATATAGCATGCTCACACACCATAGTACCTTCAAGAGACTCCCAGCTGCGAAAGATAATCAGGGTTCTTAATCTTTTTCTTATAGGTTCTGTAAACCACACAGCTCACTCCAATGTCAGCAAAACGCCTAGCGAGGAATATTACAGGTACGGGTATGATATAACGATATAACCAAGCATGTTTAGTTACGGTCCACCCTAGCTCCATATCTTCATGGAGTGACTGGGTTTTGTACGTTGAACAATTTACTTACCAGTTATTTAATCATTTTGCAGAAATTATGTCCTCGGGCAGACGGATTCCATTGATGAGATAGGAAATGTGGAATGGCATCTCGCCTTGACGCTCCTTCTTGCCTGGGTAATCGTCTGTCTAGTCTTACTCAGAGGAATCCAGTCTCTTGGAAAGGTACGTAATTTCACATTTCTTCATAATAGTTCATTCAACTTACAATGATATCATTTACGGAAGATCTCAAAATATACCATATTTCAATCTTATGTATTGAAAAACATTATTTACGAAAATTCTACTGCTATCTTGTTTCCATACCTGATATTTTAATTTGTTTCTCTACAGGTTGTATACTTCACGGCTATCTTTCCCTACGTGATGCTCACAATCTTGTTTATCCGGGGTGTCACCTTACCTGGTGCGGCGGACGGTCTAATGTATTACTTCAAACCCGACTTCAATAAGTTGAAAGAGACACGGGTGTGGAGTGACGCAGCCACACAGATTTTCTACTCCCTTAGCGCATGCTCCGGAGGTCTGATTGCCATGTCTAGTTACAACAAGTTCAACAATAACTTCTACAGAGATTCCCTTATCGTCAGCGTCATCAACTGCGGAACCAGTATCTTCGCCGGAATGGTCATCTTTGCTGTTCTTGGTTTCATGGCTCAGGAAAAAGGAATGGATATCTCCAATGTGGCTGATGGAGGTGTGTGTTTGACGACAACGACTATACTTTGTTTCAGTTTGGTATCATGAAGATATTGTCAACAATGTGACATCTCATGGTTGAATTTGAATGATACTATCAAGAACAAATATCACATTTAACTGATTAAAGTTCCATACGTTACGCTAGTGGTTATATTAGGTCATGCTAGACCAATCTTGAACTTTATTCTGTGTTGTTGTTTATAATGATTTACAATACTTTACCATCTTTGTAGGTCCGGGACTTGCCTTCGTTGTTTACCCAGAAGCTCTAGCACGTATGCCTGTTGCTCCACTTTGGTCAGTGTTCTTCTTCATCATGATGGCTACTCTCGGATTCGGCTCTGAGGTAAGCAGGAACATAATTGACTTAATCAGAAACATCGACCTATATAACAAAACGTTATAAAATGGCAACATTTAACTCCCTGATTATGTCGTGGGTTGTTATGGTTTTTTGGTCAAACTTACATTTGATATATTGTTACTACATGACCACATCCATAGCACAAGCAATCACAGTAATGTCATATATTACTTCCTTGTTTGTATTTATAAAACCATTTTGTATCCATTGTACTTAATCGAAGTCTCATTTTTTCAGTTTTCCTACGTTGAGTGTGTGTTCAGCGCCTTGGCTGATGAATTCCCCATCTTGAGAGAACGTCGCAATAACATCATCTTTAGAGTCGTCGGCTGTATCTTCTGTTTCTTCCTTGGTCTCCCAATGGTCTGCAGTGTAAGTATTTTATCGATACGAAGGGAGACTACTCGGGTTTTATAATACAGTAAACATGTACATAATTATATTTTCGTTACTGCACGGTGTGATTCGTTAATAACCCGAACCTCTCACTGATATCCCGTTAACAATGTCTTTGTTATATGTTGACAGGGCGGTATCTGGCTCCTGAACATCGTTGATTACAGTGTTGGTGGGTTTCCTTTGTTGGTTGTCGGTATTATGGAACTCGTCGCTGTCAGCTGGATTTATGGTAAATAAGACACATCAATTATATAAACTTTAACTATCATTAAGGTGCTTGAAAGGAACTGTTCGCATATTAATACACATACATGTATAACATTATTGTTATTGGAATGTCTTAACATTTCAAGCGGTGTTACCTGTTATAAGGAAGACAATGATTTTGTTTTTGCATTAGAACTAACCACATCCTACATGCACCACAGTTGTCTATTTCTTAAGTAGAAAAAGCTTACCCTTTCGGGGCTTCTGGTCTTATCCTCTTTGTATTTTTTCAGGAGTCTCTGTGTATTTTTTCTTTTGTTCATATTTTGTCATAGCTTCATCGAATTGGTATATGATTGTGTTACCATGTCGATATTTTCTTTGTTATTTTAATCTCATTACGTTTCTCCTGTGTATTTACAGGCTATGACAATTTCTCGGATAATATCCACGCTATGCTGGGAAAGAGACCAAATATTTACTGGGAAATTTGTTGGAAGTTTGTTTCGCCAGCTGTTATTGGTGTAAGTAGTCATTACCATAAATATACGACATGTTTGAGAAACACATTTTTTTATTATTTGATGATTTATTTTAAATAACGTAGATATAAAATAAAATCAGAGAATATCATGCAACTCTAAATAGCATATTGTTTATTTTTACTTGATTTCTGACCATGTTGTTCCTTTTCCAGGTCACTATTATCTTGAACATTGCGCTGTACAGCCCACCAAGCATGGATGGTCAGTTCTACCCCTGTTGGGCCAATGCTCTTGCCTGGTTAATTGCTCTTTTCCCTATTATTGGAATTCCCGGATTGTTCTTGTACAAATACTGCAGGGACGGTGGATTTGAGGTAAGATGTGTGAATATACTCTTCAATTACAATATAGCTTAGGTATTTATCTATCGGAATGGGCGGAAATCAAAGTGTTTTCACGAAGTAGTCTATTATTAATGTTTCTCGCTGACAAGCGTAATTACCATACCCGATGTATATCGAAATATTTGGTATACAAGTATTATCTGGTAATCGATTGAAGCAAATATTAAGTTTGTTCTTCTAGAACATGGACTCGGTTTGATATGAGTCCAAAATCAGTTAATGCTATGAGATGAAATATTCATTGGGTATTAATGTTTAATTTTAAAAAGTCAAAGTCAACGTTATGTGAAGATGTGCTAAAATTTGTGATATTTCCTTGCAGTTGATGAAAGAAAGTATGAAACCTGATCCTACCTTTGGACCCGTCATCCGGTATCCTAACGTAGACGATTCCTTCACGGACATGGGAAATATTCATACTAATGGTTACAATCCAGCATTCGCAAAATCAATGGGGAGTTCTTTATCAACAAGTACCAAACTTACGGACGTTCCTAACCTAAACTTTACACCGGCGTCTTCAGTTATTACAATATCAAAACTGTCAAAAACAACGGATAAAGGGCCAAACGAATCTCGTCTATAGTGCATATCTCAAATGTCCTTTTCACGTGCTGAAAGATGAGTGAAAGAACACGTAAGTGAGGGAGTGTGAATAAGATTCATATTTCAATTGTCATCGACATAAATTAAAAGACATGATATATGACATGAAATTTACATAGCCTATTTCAATCTTACTTTTTTTCTTCTCTGAACAGAAGCGAATCATAAAATATGAAAAAAACATTGAAAGTTTTCTTTGACGAGACACCAAATCAGAGGTTGTGAACAAATTGATCTAAAACTGATTATTTCTTCTAATCTGTCATACGGCAAAGGTGTTTTTATTGTGTCATATATCAAGTAATTGATACCCATCAATTGTGATAAATTAATATCGTAAAACATTGACGGAATATTGTGATATCCACAAATATGTTCCAATTTATTTTTCATTTCTATTTGTTTTGTTGAACTATTTTATAATTTGGCCCCCACCACATGTTGTCTTTATGTGAATTGAATAATCCAATCGTACTGCCATTATCTATCGATGAACTGCCAGATTCGATCTTAAATTTTACAAACCATAATTTGCTCAATCGGAAAAATCACGCCCACTTTGAAAACCGCAATTTATAGCTGCTGTCGTTTTCCTTCTTGATGCTGTTGAAGTCATGACGTCAGTCTGAAGGTAGTCGAGATGTTTTGTCAAACAGGATGGAGATTGGGTGATTGATTGTTTAAAGTCTGTGAGATTTTTAGATTTATTTTTTATTAATTATTGCGCTAAGTCATGAATTTGTTAACAGGATTATGTTTGATGGCATTGTGCAAATATGCTTTTATATCGAAGGTGCTCGACGTTTAAAAAAATGTTTTAAAAGTTTTTCTGTCAATAACAACACTAAGCTATTACGTGGTATGTATTTTCAAACTTCTACTGTTTTTCAATCATTTGGTTTTGTCATTGTAAATACCAACATCGTGTTCAAATATTCCTGTTTCTCTATACTTTTTATCTTCAGACATGTATTATGTGTGATGGTATTTTACCATTGTCTTTCAGTTCTAAATAATGTTGACGCATGCGCACTGCAGTGTCTTTAACGATTGTGTCTTATACGCTTCATGCTTTCTTGTACCATTTTTACACACATGTACATTTGTACTTAAATTCAATTCTGCTGTTAGTTTCTATTTCATGGTATACAGTTTAACAACGCTTTTTAAATGTAGTGTTAAAGGGCGTTAGACTGATTTGTTTTCAATAGTCAGCTTCAAAGTTCTTCAGTAAATGAACCTTCCTGACTCTGAGTATTGAAGTAAAATGGTGATAAACTTGGTTTTAGTCAAATTATTGATCAAAATGCAGGTAGACCCTGCTTTATTTACTTGGTTTAGACACTAAATCACACTTCAGTTCAAAATAAATTGTGACTTCACTTTTTGTAAACTAAATAAGAATAAGACATCTGTTGCATCTCCGCTATCGAGTTTGAAAAAAACTTTATCTGAAATAAATATTTTCTTTTGTTGTTGTTAAACCTCACATGTTTGTAAATATTGCTTGAAAGGAATGTAAATATGTTGCCACCAGTGTTTATATCTCAATGAGAAACACTTTATTTTTACCACAAGTTAATTAAACGTATTTTTGTTTTGAAGGGAAAAATAACAATGAGTACTTATTTCTAATATCAATTCAGATCTTTTATAAAATTGAAATAATGTTTGGGAGAGATAAAACAACGTAAGGACTGCGATCTTTTTGTGATGCTGCCACCTTACAGATAAGAAAATCATAATAATATTTATTTGTGACAAGCCCATTTTTAAAGCATTTGGTATAAATTGTGTGAAATTAATAACATTCCAGAAAAAAGGAATGCATAAAGTTATTTTATTTGAGAAATTTGGGACTGGTTGAGCGTGAGAGAAAATGTCGACTGTGCACTGATAAAACGACAATGCAGGTGTATAAGGAGATGTGATAAATTATTTTGTAAATATATATATTACGTAATTGAAATGCTTCCTAGATAGCACACCACACTTGCCATGATGTCTTGTGATACGTATATACTAGTCCAATAGTACTTAATGATATTTCACAGAAACTAACAAAATACTTCTTTAAATGTTATTAGATTTAATCAATTAGCACTGAAATATATCCAATATAAAATTTTGACGTTCAACATCGATTTAAGTTAATTAATATCCCTGGTTTTAGTAATTAAATCAAATTCGAAAATACCATATTTGGACATTAACAATCATATAATGATAAAATAACTGCTGCTCTTGACAAGCAGTCTTTAATGCCAGTATATAAACTGTGATGTTGGTAATGATTATTCTGACATCATATCGTTTATTGTTACGTCATTAAGGCATGCGTGTTAGGCTTTCCGACATTTGGAGGTGAAGATGTGTTGTTATCTATCACATGCATGTATATTTTTGTATTGCTACAGTACAATACGACAAATAAAATTGTTAAAACTTAAGTCAAGTGTTGCTTCTTTGTTATATCAGCTAGAACAAATTTTGACAATCTTGAAATTCGCCGATTATTAGCGCACCTGCACCGAAAGGCCAAGTGAGCTTCTGTCGTTGTGCGGCGTCCGTCGTCCGTCCGGCGTCAACTTTTTACTTCAAACTTCTTCATCTCAATAACAGAGGGGCCCAGGGTACTGATATTGGGCCTGCAACATATAAGGATGGATGGCTACCAAGTTTATCATATGAATGACGCACATTCAAATATATGAAAATCTTCCAACTACTTCTCAGAAACTGATGGTATTAATATTATACCTGCATCATGCTGGGCTGAAGGGCTACCAAGTCTGTTTGAATTAATATCCTTGACCTACTTTCAAGGTCACATGGGTCAAATGGGTAGAATAATCTTCGAACAACTTCTCTGTAAGAGAGTGGCCAATGGTAATAATATTGGGCGGTAGTATACTTGGGGGAAAAGGACTACCAAAAGTGTTCAAACGAATGACCTTTACTCACTTTCTAGGTCACATGGATCATGTGTGTTAAAACCTTCAAAGAACTTTTTTCATCCTAGGAACATACCAGTCAAATATCAGGCCTCTTAGTCCACGAAAAGAAGTCGTTTAAATTTCATTCTAGCATGCGACGTATCAGTACCCTGGGCGTTCCAGTTAATGGGGGAAAAGTCGTTTGAAGATGTTCATACATTTGACCTACTTGAACGTGAGTTTGTTGATCAAAAGGCCTTAACCTGACGGATGAGTTTTTTAAAGTAAGGCTTTTGTGTATAGATATGTCAAAATGCTCATGCTCTCAATTTAATTTTGTGTGCGTTCTAAACTTTCAAACAAGATCTTAACAGAATAAGAAAAATTGCTTCGTTTGATTTTCTAATGCATAATTATTTAGTTCAGCGAAATATCACTATACATATGCCCTCAACCGTGAAAGTAAAAATGGGCGATGGTTCAGATAAGAATAGTGAATAATTCATAACACACTCTCACTTAATGTGCCTGGGACATTAGTGAACTTGCGTTAGTGTTTTTATGATGAACGTCATATGCAGACAGCTGTCATTAATTGTAAATGTTTGTAGAAAGGACAAAACACCATATGTGCATTGTGTAAGATCCCAGTAATGTGAACATTCAGACCCAAAGTATTTCTTCTGAAATAAATATGATAAACTCGAGGGATATTCAAAATATATTGATCACATACAAGTCCATATTCAATACTGGCGTCACTGACGCGATAAACAAAATAGCTGAATCAAGCTGCTTTGTTAGTCGACTCTTTCGTTGGAAACAAAGCTTTCTAAGGAAGACGTAAGTGATATACATGTAATTAGACATTCTGATGTTTCTGTATACAATAACCTAGCCAAAGAGAGTGAAATGTCATATCATCTATCAACAACATTTCAACCACATTACTTATACAGATTGTTAGAAAATAAAGACAGAGATAATTTTGAAGTTGTACCGGCCAAGTAAGACGATTAAAATCTGGTTATGGTAATTTAGTGTTTGGAAAATGAAGGTCATGGAGGAGTGGAGACACCAATATTATTAGAAAATAACAGGGACCTATCAGGGGACCGACCTATTAGGGGACCAATAACGGGGACCTATCAGGGGACTGACCTATCAGGGGACCAATAACAGGGACCTATCAGGGGACTGACCTATCAGGGGACCAATAACGGGGACCTATCAGGGGACCGACCTATTAGGGGACCAATAACAGGGACCTATCAGGGACCGACCTATCAGGGGACCAATAACGGGGACCTATCAGGGGACCGACCTATTAGGGGACCAATAACAGGGACCTATCAGGGGACCAATAACGGGGACCTATCAGGGGACCAATAACGGGGACCTATCAGGGGACCAATAACAGGGACCTATCAGGGGACCGACCTATCAGGGGACCAATAACAGGGACCTAACAGGGGACCGACCTATCAGGGGACCAATAACGGGGACCTATCAGGGGACTGACCTATCAGGGGACCAATAACGGGGATCTATCAGGGGACCGACCTATCAGGGGACCAATAACAGGGACCTATCAGGGGACTGACCTATTAGGGGACCAATAACAGGGACCTATCAGGGGACCAATAACGGGGACATATCAGGGGACCAATAACGGGGACCTATCAGGGGACCAATAACAGGGACCTATCAGGGGACCGACCTATCAGGGGACCAATAACAGGGACCTATCAGGGGACCGACCTATAAGGGGACCAATAACGGGGACCTATCAGGGGACCAATAACAGGGACCTATCAGGGGACCGACCTATCAGGGGACCAATAACGGGGACCTATCAGGGGACCGACCTATCAGGGGACCAATAACGGGGACCTATCAGGGGACCAATAACGGGGACCAATCAGGGGACCAATAACGGAAACCTATCAGGGGACCGACCTATCAGGGAACCAATAACGGGGACCTATCAGGGGACCGACCTATCAGGGGACCAATAACGGTGAACTATCAGGGGACCGACCTATCAGGGGACCAATAACGGGGACCTATCAGGGGACTGACCTATTAGGGGACCAATAACGGGGACCTATCAGGGGACCAATAACAGGGACATATCAGGGGACCAATAACGGGGACCTATCAGGGGACCAATAACAGGGACCTATCAGGGGACCGACCTATCAGGGGACCAATAACGGGGACCTATCAGGGGACCGACCTATCAGGGGACCAATAACGGGGACCAATCAGGGGACCAATAACGGGGACCTATCAGGGGACCGACCTATCAGGGGACCAATAACGGGGACCTATCAGGGGACCGACCTATCAGGGAACCAATAACGGGGACCTATCAGGGGACCGACCTATCAGGGGACCAATAACGGTGAACTATCAGGGGACCGACCTATCAGGGGACCAATAACGGGGACCTATCAGGGGACCGACCTATCAGTGGACCAATAACGGGGACCTATCAGGGGACCGACCTATCAGGGGACCAATAACGGGGACCTATCAGGCGACCAATAACGGGGACCTATCAGGGGACCGACCTATCAGGGAACCAATAACGGGGACCTATCAGGGGACTAAAAACAGGGACCTATCGGGGGACCAATAACAAGGACCTATCAGGGACCTATCATAGGACCAATAACAGGGACCTATCAGGGGACTAATAATAGGGACCTATCAGGGGACCAATAACAGGGACCAATCAGGGGACCAATATCAGGGACCTATAAGGGGACCGACCTATCAAGGGACCAATAACAGGGACCTATCAGGGGACCAATAACAGGGACCTATCAGGGGACTAATAACAGGGACTTATCAGAGGACCAATAAAAGGGACCTATCAGGGGACTAATAACAGGGACCTATCAGGGGACCAATAACAGGGACCTATCAGAGGACCAATAACAGGGACCTATCCGGGGACTAATAACAGGGATCTATCCGGGGACCAATAACATGGACCTATCAGGGGACTAATAACAGGGATCTATCCGGGTACCAATAACAGGGACCTATCAGGGTACCAATAACAGGGACGTATCTGAAGACAAATATCAGGGACCTATCAGTGGACCAATAACATTTACCTATCAGGGGACCAATAACAGGGACCAATAACAGGGACCTATCAGGGGACCAATAACAGGGACCAATCAGAGGACCAATAACAGGGACCTGTCAGGGGACCAATAACAGGGACCTATCGGGGACAAATATCAGGGACCTATCAGGGGACCAAAGAGGTGTAGAAACTGTAACTTAGACAATATGTTACAGAGTGTTACCCGAGAACAAAGATAATGCAGTTCAGGTGTTTAAGGATGGGGCCTAGAGACAAATATAGACAATGTTATGCATGATGGGACCTAGGGACAAGGGTATTGTTGGTAAGATAGTACGTGGTGTGACCTAGGGAAAAGGGTATTGTTGGTAAGATAGTACGTGGTGTGACCTAGGGACAAAGGTAGTATTGGTCAGACAGTACGTGGTATGACCTAGGGACAAAGGTAGTGTTGGTCAGGACAGTACGTGGTGTGACCTAGGGACAAAGGTTGTGTTGGTCAGGATAGTAGGAGGTAGAGCTGACGTTTCGTGTTCGAATACAGCGAGTACACGGAAAGGTATCTTCAGATCGGCCGACCCTCTAGTAAGATCGGGAATGACAGCCATGGCACCCGTATTTAAGACTGGCGTTAAGGATTTAGGCAAACAGGCATTAAAAATGGAATGAATTTGGCGGAAGATTTGCTGAGTGACTAAAAAAGGAAATTCCGAAACAAAACATCGACTCAAATACAAAGCCTGGCAGTCTCGGACCTCCGGGGAAAAGAATGAAAAGCGCGGAAAACACAAATCAAAGGGATATTTTCGATGTATGATCCTCCCCCAAAAACTATATATAGGCATCCTTCTCGATGGGAATTCCGTTAATGACTTGTTGCATCGACGACTTGCAGCAAAGTTAATATAAATTTGAAAAAAATGCCTTTATTCCATTTTAATTCGTACGAATATACGAAATCAGAATCAGATCTGTTTAGCGTACCTCCTATTCAAACCAGTGTAGAAGACGGCTATTGACGTCAGATAGGATCGGTAATTGCAGTAAAACATGGCTGGCCTTACCAATTGCACATTTCCGGAGCCGGCGAAGAATTTATTGTTATGGGAAATACCTTTCAATCCTTCAAAGTACAAATGGTAAAGAACGACGGTTCCAACACGACCAACGACGACAACGTAGTAGCTACAAATTTACGGTGACAGCCTTTTTGTGGATGCCTGCACGAGTCTGAGAGAAAAAGTCGTCTCCCCGCCGAATAACCAGTATGCTTATAGAGCTTACATGGAAACTCTCTTGAGCTTCGGTCCAGGAGCCAACTAATCTTAGTTGTAGGGAAGTATGTGGTATAAAGACACGAGTACGAAAATGAACACGACCGGAGCCGACAATCACGGTTACATTAAGAGAAAACAGTTGACAGCGACGAGCCAAACAGTCGAACTGATGGGCAGATTACATACGGATTTGTTCGTCCAAGAGTGATACTTAATCGACAGCGTAGACGGGGGATATCATCAACCAGAAGTAAAGATTCGTTTTGTCTGATAGTGTAAGGCGACAGGTTCAAAAAGGTCAAGAGACATTTTATCTGAACGTGAGGAAAGTGAAACCTAGTTCGTCTGTTAGATTGGCACATACGAAAGCGTTAAAATTGACGCCCGTCAAATAACCCCTTAGGCAGAATCGGAATGAAAGCTGCTTCCGATCCGTAAAAGACAATCTGTCGCGTAAACAGCGATGCCTATAGTGACGTCGTTTCAAAAAATCCATTTCAAACTTTAGCGAATTAATGACGTCGTCTTGAACGTGGTGGCAAAGAGGATCCGGCAAAGCCTTTACAACCGAATTTTACTTCCAAACATTACTTAAGGAGTAACATGGGTTAATTCAGTAGTACCTGCAATATTTTCCATGACGAGGGTAATAGCATCTCGAAGGAAGAATTCGTCAACAGCTGTACTTAGTTTGGATTCGATCTGACGCCCGATATTTCCGAATAAAGCATATTTCACCTTATAAAGAGAGGAATATTAATTTCGGTGAACCCTTGACCCAAACCATCAAGGTCATCGTGTATGTCGAATTCGAAACATCATAGTAATCGACGGGAATCGACAGTTATTATTTGATTTCCATGCCTAAATTTAATTTGGAAATAGAAATCATCTTAAAAAAAACCGTGGACATATCATGGCCATATCACCCTACTCGAATACAGCAACTGAACTCTGTAGTGTGTGGTCAGCACTGTATATTTTATGTAGTACATAGGAAAAGAGGGATGACTTAATGGATTTTTCTAGAAAAGATTTCGTTGCAAACAGTTTTTTTATGTAGATAGTTTCATTCAAAATTTGATAAGTGGTCAAACAGGTAAAGGGGAATAACTATGTCAGAAACAAGCTCTATTTGGCCATAAAGATACAGCGGGCAACAATGAGTCGATTGGTCATCGATGATACCCTGTTAAATAAGGGTTCTTTACAGTTCCATAACAATTGTAAACAACCCGGGGACCCCGTAGCCATTAGAATATCACTGAATATTGGAAAAGTTCAAATTACACATTTTTAGGCCGAAATAACTTTAAAAGTAAAGTTTTGCAATTAAGAAATGTAAGATGTTAATATTTTTGTATGTCAAAAACATTTTTGTCAGTATAAAATGCAAATAAGTAATATTTTGTAAATAAAAATTGGAAAATGCTAATTTTTTGTCAATAAAAAACAGCAAATACCAGCAGTAAACAACAGCAGCAAAACAGCAGCTTAATAACGTCATCAAAACCAGCCGAAATACATACTCTACCACAGTCAAAGACATCAATGACATCGTCAGAACCATCCCGTCAGTCAAAACACATAGACAAAAATACAGAAATGGTAAGTGCACAAAAAAAAAAAGGTTACACATTCCTGTGATGGTATGTAGATATGGGTGGATGGGGGATGGGGATTTGGTGTGGGTTTGCTTAGGCAGCCATCTTAATTTCGTTGCAATGATAATCCAAGATGGCGGAACTTCCTTTGCAACCCCAACCCCCCATCCACCCTATATCATACAGTCAAGTAAAGACAAACACGCTAATATTTTCCGATTATACTCCGAACTGGGATTATACAGCGATGTATAAATAAAGAACAAGCTGAATTCAGTTTTAAAACTTTTATTGGCCATGTACAAAGTACACCTTTGAATCACTGCAGCACAAATGAAATCAGATACGAAAGGTTTTGTTTCAGGAAAGACAAATCGAGTATGACGTTCAAAGCATCATATAACATTATAAAAACATAATGTGAAAACTAAAATCAAACTATTCCTGTTATTGTTAGGACAAAGACACGTACAACAACTGCTCTGGTATTCCTTTCTGTGCTGACAAATTGTGTGCTCTAAAGTTTTATAAATAACAAGGAGCTACATATATCAGTATATCGCACGCTGAAATGTCGCAGTTTGTACATGGTCTAATCTTTGAAGGCATATCTAATGCTGGGTGTTTTCTAATAATGATTGCTAATTACTCTTTTCGTTTTCATGGGTAGGTAATTTTGAGTCGATGATATTTTTCAATAAAATATAAATAAAACAAAATTTAAAACCAGTCAATTGAGATTCGTTTTTAATCTCCAACTTTGAGATGAATTAATCAAATACTTGATTTAATACTGATAAAAATGGGCATATCCCAACAAATGTAGTGATCCGTTTGAAAATAGTCATAATTCAAAACAAATCAATAAACGGTCAAAATATACGTGCAATCACAAATACGTTGTTAATGAACTTTGGCATTGACGATAATTTAAAAAAAAGTAAACATTTGAGTAGTGAGATTTTGTTCCACATTTTAGTTTACAATTCCGACACCAGTTAAAACTAAGATAAACACAGACTTGATTTCCAAAAGGATAAATCAGACATCTGCATATGTCAAAGCCGAAACGAAAATATCAATAGAAAACCTAAACAATGAAAGTTTATATGACAGTACGTGTCTATCTTATGTCTATAAATAGAAGACTGAAAATATTCAAGTGTTACGTCGGCTTCAAGTTTATATGATCAGTGAAAACCTTCTACCCTGGTGTCAGAAATTGTCTAGAAAGCTGCCTAGAAGTAAGCGTATCACTTAGCATGGAATTAAAGTGAGACAATATAGTGTAGCACATAAAAAAATCAACATCACAAAAACCGACACAAAGCATTCATCAATTCTGGGTAACATATACACACGCTGTATCCTCTCATATCCATTATCTCCATCTTAATAGATAATAGTGTAGGTGATCGTACAATAATGTCGACTTCAACCCTAACATATTTCTACCGATCTTCTGTCGATATAAAATCTAACATATTTCTACCGATCTTCTGTCGACCTAAACCCAACATATTTCTAACGATCTTCTGTCGATATAAACCCTAACATATTTCTACCGATCTTCTGTCGATATAAACCCTAACATATTTCTACCGATCTTCTGTCGATATAAAATCTAACATATTTCTACCGATCTTCTGTCGACATAAACCCTAACATATTTCTAACGATCTTCTGTCGACCTAAACCCAACATATTTCTAACGATCTTCTGTCGATATAAAATCTAACATATTTCTACCGATCTTCTGTCGATATAAAAACTAACATATTTCTATCTTCTGTCGACATAAACCCTAACATATTTCTAACGATCTTCTGTCGACCTAAACCCAACATATTTCTAACGATCTTCTGTCGATATAAAATCTAACATATTTCTAACCATCTTCTGCTGATATAAACCCTAACTTATCTCAAACGATCTTCTGTCGACAGAAAACCCTACTTTAGATTGAATTTTTATATTGAAAAAAAAAGAAACGTGGTTCAAACCATGAAGGCATTTACGTTTCATGTTTCTCACTAATATCAATGTCGAAATGATTAAGATGCCTACACTCCACAAAAGTAGCACCTTTTCCCGCAGTAATGTGTACACACATATAGTAACAGGTTGTAAGGGTTCAGAGATATAACTGTCACTTAACTGATTCCAATTAATTTGGAGAACTTTCATCTACCATACAGTCGCGACATTACCGTAACACAAAATCCAGGGGTTTAGAATTCACGACATATCCACGACACATCAATGACATACACACTCTTGTCTTAATGATCGACATATTTACGGTTTCAGGAAACTCAATTCAAATTAATAACTCCCATACCCCTGAGCAATTCAGACACATGATCCAGGTACATTGTTGTGATAATCATACGCAGCAACAGTGATATTGAGCGTAAAACTACACACAATCATACATTATATTCACACATTTCTATCAACGCTTGGTCCATAAAACAATCATTTGAATTTCAAAAATAATATTTGTAGAAAAAAATATGTTTTAATGGTGGTGTTCGTAGTACAACATAAGTTTACCTGGTTCAGACAATATAATCATTTCGACATGCAACAAAGGAAACAGCGTTTTGTCTTTTGCACATATTAAAAATTACTAGCATTGCTCGCAACTATAAATGTGGATAGTTTCACTTCGTTAAGAATTAACACCTTGATCCCAGATCTCCGCTGTGAAATGCCCAATATTGTGAAGACCACAAATGAAACTGATATGAAATAAATAATGATGAAGTATGAAGTTTAAGTAAAAATTTTCAACCATAACGCCAAACGAAAAGTGAAGACATTATTTAACTCAATAGATCTTATCTGTTATGGTGTCCCCTTAGTATGACATAACGGGCAACATACTTAGCGTGTGTTGTATAACACAGCATTTGTCGAGTCATGATTACACTACATTGACCAACACTAAAGCAAATAAGAGACAAGATTCCGGAAGTCAAATGATGTCACATATGTACTTCGTCAACGTCTGCAATTTGGACTCATTAAAAACATCACAACGTTTATGATAAAATTCACGATGGATCTTATAGATTGGAACACATGTATATTTCACATTGCATTGTTGATATTGATCACATCATCGTCATAGCATCTTGCAAACACACTCACTTACAACTTTTAACAACAAATCAAATTCTCACAACTTTTAACTAGTTTTGTTATGATCATACTTTCGACTCGCTTGGTTCCCTAGAACGGTTAGATGAAAATATATACGTGGACCCTCCTATACTTCCGTTTCCGGGTATCCTGTTTACCGTCTTCACTGATGCACCAATGTTTGTGACGTCAGTACTATTTGTACTCGTTGATATGTTACTTCCCATGAGACGAGCGAATGCTGGGTTATAACCGACATCACCTGCAGCGAAAGTCACGTCATATTTCATGAAAGGGTACTCTCCCTTGGTCTTGTCTGCTGGTCCCCATGTAGGTAGAGGTTTCACTGAATCTTTTAGCACCTGCAAGACGCAAGAACAGAAAGAGTGTGTTAAAAAACAGCAGGTACTTAAAAGTAATTTTGCTTTGTTTAGGTATTAATTTCACAGCGAAAACCAGAGCATTGTAAGGACTTGTATCATACACTAAACGCAGAGAGAAGGCCCAGAACAATGACAAGGAAAATAATAAGATTCCAATCAGAACACATCGGAAAAACCTATCGCGACCACGGACAGGAATCCTCAGTAATATTATGATCGTAGAATGATTTTCTTAACTTTACATGATTGGTGGCACAGTAAAACCAACAACGACATATCTTTATGTTCTCATTATAAAAGACAATTATTATTTTTAATGATTAGTTATGACGAATTACCTGTACTCCACCACTGTAACAGAAGTAATGTAAACCAAGAATAACAATGGCAGCCACAGGGAACATGGCAATAAGCCACCCCAAACTGACAGCCCATCTAGGATACGTCACGTTGTCTAGATCTGGCTCCTTGAAGAAAACGATGTTCATTATGACTGTTACCTGTAAAACCAAAGATGTCTTCAACTTTAATACACTCAATAGCAGTTAGATGTCCGAAAAAGTTTATACGGAAAAATATCATAAGTAACAGTCGATATGAAAGTTTCATATCGCATTAGCTGACGGTAAATCCAGCCCATTCTCATTCCTAATATTGGCCGTTCTTTAGCAGTTAAATGTTAAATATTGTAAACTCAGTTTCATTTCTTTTGACTCAATTATTCAATCGAGTAAATCTTGCGAGGCTGACTTATTACTTACAAACACAACGAATGGTGACACCCACTTCCAGCAGATCTCCCAGTATTTGTTTGGTCTTATTCCAAGCATGGCGTGTATATTTTCGGAGAATTCATTGTAACCTGTAATGTACACCAGTCCTAAATTTCTAACTTTGTTATTCCGTGTTATTATCATGCTCTGACGTCATAAATTAACGCCTGATATTACAGTTATGAAGACGTGTTACTGTATACCAATAACCTTGATACAAGGGAGATAATAATTTATTATTATTTGATTTATTATCATTATTTATTAATTTTTATTCCAAGATATCTATTTTTTGCAGTATTATTCCATTCTCGAAAAATCAAACCTCTCGGAAATGGCAACATTTTCGGTATCTACAAACTCTTGCGGGACGTACCATATATTCTAGTGATGATAAGCAGCTCCATGAATCCGACAACCAACAGAGGGAATCCCCCAACGCTGTAGTCCACAAGGTTGAGCATCCATATTCCTCCCTATAACAGTCAACAGTTCCACAATATATAGCTTGGTTTTACTTAAAGACGATGCGTCATAGACGATAATGTTTATTAGTTAAGATACAACAGTTGTAAGTACTATATTTGACATATAAATATTCAGATCGACTCTTGAATACCTTATATGGTATTGGGTTATAATTACTAGGAAGAAAATGTCAACACTCACGCGACAGATCATTGGTAGACCGAGGAGGAAGAACACGATACAGCCGACGATACGGAAGATGATATTGTTACGGCTGACCTTCAGAATTGGAAACTCGTCTGACACGGAACTGAATACACACTCGACGATAGAAAACTGAAACAGAATCGGGTCGTATGTCAACAACACGGAAGTATAATGTAGTGTCAGAATATTTTACATATACTTTACTATTGCTGTTTTTAAGTATCATAATATGATCTGTGTATATTATGCCCTTCCTCATTCATTATATTGGTACACCGATTAGTTACATCAAGAAACCTCACCTAGTTTCAAACTTTTTTTATTAAGTACCTGAGATCCGAATCCGAGAGTGGCCATCATGATGAAGAAAAACACAGACCACATTGGGGCGACAGGCATTCTGGCTAAAGCTTCAGGATACACAATGAAAGCCAATCCAGGACCTGTAGGACAAATGTGGGAATATTACAAACAAATGAAATGTATATCAAAGAGCACCGCTTATCACATAGAAGATCTTATGACAAATAACGATGTGATACATATTTCAAGTCATATCAATGAAAATAAGAGGACATCTACCCTTAGTATTTGGTGGGGGGATTTAGTATCCAGTGGTGTTTTAAAGTAATATCATGTAATGTCGTCTTCTGGCTCTTTTTCTGATATTGAAAAGGGCATTCCGATATGATAAAGAATAACTAACCATCAACACACATGTATCACTTACCGTCGTCAACAACCTTCGACACATCGACGTCCTTCTCCGTGGCGATGAAGCCGAGGACAGAGAAGATGACAAGACCAGCGAACACACTAGTACCACAGTTGATACAGCAGACGATGAGAGCGTCCCTGTAACAGTTGTTATTGAACTTGTTGTAACTAGACATGGCAATCAGACCCCCGGAACATGCGCTGAGGGAGTAAAAAATCTGGGTGGCTGCGTCACTCCATACACGCGGATCAAGAAGACGTTCAAAGTCAGGTTTGAGGTAATACAACACGCCCTTCGAAGCACCCGGCAAGGTTACGCCACGGACGAATAACACTGTCAGCATCACGTACGGGAAAATGGCAGTAAAATACACCACCTGTAACGAGTATCATTGTTTTATTGAACCATATAACCTTTCAAACTTCATGATACAGCTTGATTTACAAACAATCTATCTTTTTGTTTTCTTTTCTCTGTCTTTATCATGCCGTATTTAACGATTTCTTGTACTAAATAAACAAATATGTAATCATTGTGAAAAAAGTTATGAAGTCAGTTCCACACATAATTTCATCACTCACTTTTCCGAGAGATTGAATGCCTTTCAACAGGACTAAACCAACAACAAGCCAGGCAACGAAAAGGCAAATTACGAGATGCCATTCCACAGTTCCGAAGTCGTCGATGCTCTCTGACTGATTCAACACGTTGCGCCTATGGGAAATAATAGAAAAGTTACGCCTTGCACAGACATAGAGTGATATTACGGTATATAGGATAGTCTGTTTTTCATATTTTAAAGTTTTAGCAAGTGTTATTTAACTTACCTGTAGTATTCTTCAGTTGGTGTCTTGTAAGAGACTTGATGGGCAGAGATGCTTGAATTGGAATCTAAAGCAATGATAGAGATATCGTTACTAAAGGGAAATAAATGTGTTTTAGAGAAGGTTAATAGTGAGATATTCTATTTCTTACAAAAGCATTTCTTAGAGCATAAATTTCAACGTACCTGATGCATTAGGGCTGGCAACATAATGGTCAAAGGGCAGACAACTGTTGGTGTTCCAGCTGTTGCCACAAGACTCCCAAGGTAGAACATCGGTGAAGGATTTAAATAAATAGTAGAGGACATGAGAAATGACGACATTGTAGTATAGACCAATCAACAGCGACACGATCACCATGGCGTATCCGAGTCCTGGAACATAAGATGTTAAGGTCATAGTTTTCTTACCTCGAAACCATAGCAATGAAGTAGTTACCAACACAACTCATATAATTAAGTTTTCATAAGGAATATAATTTCACCGTGTATAGGACAGTATGTTTAATTATTTCACTTTACATACCTTTAAATAACGGGCTGAGCTTCCAGATTGCAATCGGACCTAGACTGGCGTACTGTCCCAAGCTTAACTCCATGTAGAATAAAGGCAAGCCAACCAGAGCCAACATTAGGGTATACGGGATCAGGAAGGCGCCTTAAAAATAATCAAAAGTACGTATGGTCAAAACAACATTGTTAAATTGAGACAACTTATTAGTATGATTCATGTTACTTTGATAGCGAATTATTTTGGGTCGCCTTACTGTTACATGATCGTTTGAGGTTTATTTGTAGAATAAAACTAACACGACTATCTCAATATGTTCTTGTTCAAATGATTTTAGTTGACTTGTCGTCAGAGGTTTACGAGATAAAACGACTACTCGCAATCTCAGAAAGTCGTGCTATAGCAATACGACTTGAATGGTCGAAAGATGCCACCGTGCCGTCTAAACCACTATGTGAACATGAAAAAAAAAATTATCTCAGTTTTGAATTGAACATGTCAGTGTGCATGTGTGATAGTAAATTTGGACACTTGTCGGTATAAAATCAATATGTATACATGTGTTTACATTACAGTCGCTCTCGAAGGAAGTCGATATGATTTATTTAGAATATGTGTAGGCTTTGTTATCACGTGTCAATATCAAGCTATTATTTAAATATTCGACAGAGTGATGACGTCAAACAAGCAATCTGTCTCGCATGTACGTCACACATAGCTTGTTCTTTTGTGTTGTCAAGGAAGAGACACTTAAAACAATCAACATAAGTCACTGTATCGCGCTCGTTTTCCCGCGAGTAGATGTGTTTGTACAATACTTCCAATAAAATTGTATCGTCTATGTATTATCTTTATTTACTTTTAATTTCGTAAACGTGTTTAAAATATAAATGTTCCAAAACTAAAAAAAATATACTTAAAGTTGTCGATTCGGTGAATCTCCGTTGATGTCGCCAAAAGATTGGCTCACAAAAATTAATCATCGCCAAATAAACGTCAATAATAAACACCGTGTTACGTATGTTTATTAGATAGGAATAGGAATTGTAGTATGATTGACTCGGCAGCAGTGCCCTAGGCAACTAATCGATATCTGCTACAGACAACTGTGACGTAAGTGGATGCATTACCACGTCTATTAAGACACACAGAGCAGATTCTGCAAGCGTCTGGGAATACGAGGCGCGCCAAATTTATATATAGGTGTACCAAAATAGAAACGTATTGAACTGTCTTTACTACTGGTGATGCTGTCGGGAAGACGAATAGATACAATAGTTTATATGGTATCTTTGTCGATGAAATAGGTGTGTGTTCTCATACACCTCGTCTATCTGATCTTTGTAAAATGAACATATGTTGGATTCTCTGTCGCATAATTGATTTTTATTTACAGATTTCTTGTTATCTTTGTGTGTGTGTGTGTTTTTGTTTTGTTTTTTGTTTTTTATCTCACCTCCGCCATTTCTGTAGCACAGATAAGGAAATCTCCAGACGTTTCCGAGACCAACAGCATACCCCACACATGTCAATATGAATTCCAGTTTCCCACCCCATTCGGCTCTCTCTTCGTTATTACTCTCCTGTGAACTGCCGATACTTTCAGGACTGTTATTATCAGCGTAAGGCTCCGACTTAAAACTGGGATCGACTTCAGTCTGAAAATAAATAAATCAGATCTCTGTTTAATCTGTACCTATGTGTAAAACCTGGATTTATCGGTCGTCGCGTCATGGACACGATTCATATTATCAATATACTGTTTTCAAACGTATCACTGAATTGTAATTTTATTTTATCTGTTATTGAATTTTGTTGAAAGAAGCAAATTTTGCTCACCCCATTTTTCCTCGACGCCGAGGAACGGTTTTCACTGTCATGCATTCGTAACATTACATACATATAATGCGTGGATTTTACTTTTTGTATTCACAAACTCGAATATAGTGAAATTAGTCAAAACGTAATTTGAACATAAGCTATATAAGGGCATTGAAACTTTCCGTGAAAATATTAAGTTAGCACTCAAACAAATTGTTAATGGAAACCCACTTTTCAACTTCCGTTCACAAAATCGCCGCCAGAAGGCGTCATGTGTTGACAGGAAAGTAATAGTAAACATGTGGTCTTTGTTGCACTGTTTGTATAATGACAGATTGTGCGGTACGCGACAATTTTCTGTCATGCTTTGATCACCCAATAGAAACGTGGGGTATTACGTTGGTAGCTTCGTAATTCTGTTGATAAACTTTTCTTGCACTTAAAGACACTTGACAATATTTGACAACCAAACATTGCCCAGAGCTAGCATACTTTAACAAATCGGCAGTATAAATCACCGCTATCTGTTTACACAAACTAAGATTAACCATATTCGTTTAGAATACTGTTCTACTATAGCAGTGTGAATTTGTTGAAATTCCTAACGGACACAATTACACTGTTGTAACACGTTTTAAGATACCTGACGGTAATCAGTTTTAAGTCTTCAATTAACTTCGAGATCAGATAGAATTTTAGGTACTATGAAACTAAGTTTTTCTTAAGTAGACAGCCTTCCTGTGTTTCTTCTACTGGATCATCTGGTTTAAAACCTCTGATCATTTTAATGTTATATTATACTGACAAATACAGTCTGGAAATAAATCTATCGGCATTGAAAAGAATATTTAAAACTATTATCTGTACAAGTTCGGTAAACTTTTTGACCTTTTCACTAATCTTTATACCGTTCATTATTAAGAGCTGGTCAGAAATGACAAGTTTTAGCGGGATTAATACAGATACTGCCCACTTGCTAGCGGGATTACACTCATGATGGAATTCTACGCTGATCACTAGCGTAGTGAGTAAAAATAGAACTGACCTTGCGACTGACCATCACGCTGACCAGTAATAAGGGTGTCGAGTCGTAAACAGATACATTTACAAGCTTAATCAAAGACAGATCATATATCTAAGAGGATAATTTACGAATACAATGTCAACTTTCGCTCCGGTTACGTCATCTTTAATGTACAAGTAACGCTGCATGTTGTTATACTAATTACCATCTCCTGACCGTAATTTCTTCTGTTGACGTGTATCGACCTGATAGAAGAGTTCAAGTCCAGGTTAACATCAATACGGATTTTTATGTTCGATTGAAACTGATAGATTGTTGCAGAGACGTATATATACCGTGATATATACGTCTCTGTTGTTATAAACGGTTTTGTAACGACTTCCAGACAAAAGACTTGTTTATGTACCGAGTAGCTTTGTCACGACTTTCAGATCAATAACAGGGATAGGTAGAACACTGAATAAGTGTTCCTATACAATGGCTGCTGATAAAGAACAGGTAAAGCATGCTGGTGGTTCAGTTAAGTTACCTGTACACGTCATCTTTTCAAACGCTAGCAATGTGCTTTAAAATAGTTTACGGGAACGTCACAAAGGGTGACCAAGTGTAAACATTAAATAAACATGGAAATCTGGCGCGAAAAGGAAAACAAATATAAACATATCTTGTATTCTTTCAACCGAGAAGGATCATGAATAAACCCGTATGAGCGCACATGTTCAGCGCGTGTCTATACGGTCAGCTACCCGGCCTGACCAGGGGTCATCTGTTATGCAGATGGTCAGTAAGTTAATGAAAACCAGATGCTAGTTACTTGGGCTTCATTACTCGGCGCTCTGGTCTTTAATATGTATTTACATAATAAGTTCTATTTGGGGAACCCCTAGGGTGGTGTACAATGCATAAGGGTTTTCTGTTATGGCTGATAAACGTGTCTCCCGTTTGAGAAACGCGGGATTATCCGTGACTAAGTGTTATAGAAGTGAATTAATTTGAACCTTCAATGACAGGATGGTGTTGAAACATAATTACAAAATATTCAACACCTTTGGAATATTTATTCACATATATACACATATTCAGCCTTGTAATGATCTCGTGATCTGCAGTGGGATTGTTAACGGTACATACCGCTCAAATTCCAAGTGTGATTCATTTCCTCACCCAGAGGGTTCTACAATATATATATTCATGTTCACTTGAAAATTATCGCCTTTACAGAAGCTCTTTTTTTTCGAAAAATACCCTATAACTTCCCAGTGACGTTCTCATAATCCGGAAACCAAATAATCAGTTTACAACATTTCGTTGGGTTTCTAATTCCTTAAAAGGAGGGAAGGCCACAAACCGGAAACAACATAATACAGTTCATCGTGTGTGATAGAGCGGATTACTGTATTGTCTTTCCTTTATAAACAGTTTAACAAAATTATGTTTGATTTCTTCGAGTTAGTTATTGTAAATTTTAATAGTGTACGAATACTGTTAAAACGGTTTAATTTTTAGCCTGGACAAACTATTATTACAGATAAAATATACAAAATCCCCCTTCGTGGGCCCCAACAAACCGGCTATGTCTGGACAAAAATTTTCATGTTTCGTGATAATTCATAAGTACTGTAATTGGACTTGTCTTATTATATATTGTAACCTGAAACATACATCACATACTACATAATTAGCAATAAAATATCGAAAAGTATGACGTATATATCACATAAACCACCAAAACATCAGCATCAAAGCTACGGCGACCCAGACAGCATAGCTTTTCATACATTATCGACAATTTTCATGTTTTCCATATTTACAATATAAATTGAGGATTTAAAAATTGGTTTGGTAACAGACATTATAAAAGAAAAGATTAATAAGTGTACTCACCACAGTGATGGTCATTCCATCTCCGATGTCCAGCTTCATGGGTTCATTTTGGCGGTCACTTACATCCAGGGCTTCAGCGGAGAACATGGCATCAGTTTCACTATCATCAACAGGTATAGCTACATTTCCTTTCATGTTTACAGTAATTTTTTGTTTTTGTTTATTAGCTCACGTGTAATTTTCAGGACCGTTCTCGGTCCGCGTCTATTTAATATGAAGATTTCGATTTCATCATCGGTTGTTTATATTTATGCTCGTGCTTGGCTATCTGCCACTCATTTCATTATCACACGAGCCAATCATTTGGCTCGGATTAGCTGCCATTCATAAATGTGAAAATCTGGCGCATGTGTAGTATCACATGACCTAATTCCACCACGTCTTCGTACTACGTCACACTATAACATGCGTGGGTTGTGGACTGAAAACACAACATGCATCAACGAGATTGAGCAATCGCGTGATAAATCGATAAGCAATGTTTGTAAACAAATGGAAAAACACTCCAAATCGATATAGCTACTGCCACTGACACCATCCCATCAGTATGTCAGTGTTTTGATCAAATAATTTATGGAGCATAGGAGACACAATAGAGGCATCCAGTTAACACAGGTCCTTTGATATAGTTTGTCGATGCCAATCACTAAAGATAAACAAAACATCGATTTTCTACTCGTTCCCATGTGAAGGGATATTTTAGTTGTAAAGTTTACGAATATAGCTAAGCAGTAATAATTTATAAGTCCGCCTGGTTAAGTCTTCAGTAGACTGGCAGATTATGGTTTTGAACTATTGGTAGCAGTACAGTTTCTTGGTGTGGCCATGGTGATATTTTTGTACAGTAGAGAACCTCTATGTAAATGCATGTAGACAAAGTGAAAAAAAAACGCTAAATTTGGTATATTCATGATGATGTTGGATATTGGGGCTTTACATAAGGAAAAGGAAAAAATGTACCTAGTTTGAGATTACAATTTTGGGCATTATACGAAAGTGTACCTATACAGAAAAAGCTAGCTTTACTGGCAGCCAAATTCTGATGTCAGGACACGAGGTTGTGTTGTGAAAAATTTCCGAGTTATATTTTCATTAAACAGAAATAATTTTACTCTCATGCATGTAGTGTTAAATTTTTGATATGTGTCATAGTTGAAATTTCTGTCTAATTTGGTGAGATTTTCAGTAAAAAAATCACAATATTTTGCTATTTTCAGTGTTTTTAAATATGGTAACTATGGTTTTCAATAGTGATTAATACAGAGTAAACATGTGTTTAGACAATGCTCTATTGTGTATTAAATTTGCATGTGGTGTTTAGTTTATGAAAATATATACTGTCACATGTCTGTTTTGCACGGTTAATCTACTGTGTGTAATTATCTGGAATGTGTCCCATATTTTTTTCAGAAAATGACCATTTAACTGTTTCCTGCTTCCTATTGGATAAGTTAGACATTCACGTAAAGAAGAGACAAGCTGGTACCCGAATACATTTTGGTATTTCTCAGCAAAAAGATAAATCTTTCAATAAGTCTAGACTGTTGGTAGAGCATTTTCTAGTTCACGGGAAGCAATTTTTAAGAATAACTTATTGAATTAATCTGATTTTACAATGATGTTGTAGAAAATAGAATCTCTAAAGCAAGCTGACTGTGTAATCAAACCGGGGCGTGCATAGCAGGTTGACAGAGTGACAACGAGGAAATATTACTGGTGATATAATATCATTTTTATCTTACGATGTATACGTTGTTAAGGAAATGACATTTTATAGATAACATAATATGCTTATGTCCAGAAAGATTTTGTCAATCAATATTAGAGTAGACGTCCAATCATATATTTACTCATATACTGTATGCCAATTAAAGCCATTATGAGGGTTACATACACTTTAAGTAAATGTCCCCAGTAGGAGCGGTATTTATCTTTTCATCATAAAATATTCCCACTAGGATAGGCTACTTATCTGGAAAACTTAATCCAACCATATCCTTCCTTTCAGGAAAACCGGATGAGGTTAAAAATTATCTTATCATGAAAGTCCGATAACCCATGAACACATATACATTCAATAGGCTTAAACATGTGCTAAGTATGTAACTGCGATGTTAGATATCGTCATGGTGATATTCTAAACTACCTCTGTGACACATTGTTATTTATTTTTGTTTTTAATGAGTCCCGGAACGGTTGAGGTACATTTCTAATATAAAATATATCTTTATTTATTGTGAATGCCTCGTGTTACAAGATACATGTAACTCCGTATCACATGCACAACAAAAACAACGACGAATGTTAAAAGTGGTGGTCCCATTTATTGATAAAAGGAAAATCTATTATGTACCTGGGGTATTTTAAACAATCAGAGCACCGCGCCAACTTTACCCAGAGTAGTTAAATAGAAAATAACTTCAGCATTGGACTGGTACACCTTCTGTCTCCCTAAAACGGGTTAGCTGATTTGGTGGCAGGCGTGGTCTATTTAAATACCACGATCAGAGAAGGGGACTTCATCCAATGTGTATAGTATATATGTTTGTGTTGATAAAAAGAAAGAAACAGGTTTCTAATTAAACGCCGACTCGGTCATTCATGGATGCCGAGCAGCATATTGTATACACAAGGTATTTGTTTAGTGTGTTCATTCCAATAAGTTCTGGTATATCAAAGTGTTTTTCTTAAATAATACGCTCTTTTCCTTCAGTATATCCATATTTCCGATATCCGTCTATTACATGACTTTTTTTACATGTATTTCTGCCACTCTCACCCTTACCCATCCTCAATTCTCAGCCTTTCTGACCGAGTGATTAATGACAAATATTTCCATTGAACTTTAGTTCGTACACGTGTATACATTCTGTTTACCTGTGAACTTACCGAGCAAATAAGATATAATGCAAAAACTTCCAGAACTTCCATTAACATTTAAATGTCTACGGGTTGAATTTTTCCTTCATCAAACTTTCGTGATAGCTTGTTTCACTAAGTGTTCAGACAACCTGGCACACCTGTATCAGCTTGTACACGTGTTTTTTTATGAAAGCAGTGAAAAATGCAATGTTGCATAATATTTAGGTATTATACTATCTAATAAGTGGGCTGTGAAATAAACTTACTCCTAACTCGAAATGGAAATCGTTTGCTAGCATTTGGCCTGTATTATACCCGAGGTAGCCATTGCTTTATGTGTAGAAGCAGTATCAAACTTTGTTTGATACCGCGTTTATCGTTCGTTTCTGACAATGACATCTGTGCTCATTTTTTAGATAGTAATATTTGAAATTCAGACAACATATCTATTTCTGCAATATCCCTAGTTGATTGAAGTGATAAGGACATGTTCGTTCTCTGTAACTGATGAAATCTGATTGTATTTTGCTCATAGCATACATATACAATAAATATGGTCTAATCATATACTTTGCACAAGGTTCAGCGTCATTATGAGGACAGGTGTAGAGAGGGACACCAACAGCCTGGCTCCTGAGGACAGGTGTAGAGAGGGACACCAACAGCCTGGCTCCTGAGGACAGGTGTAGAGAGGGACACCAACAGCCTGGCTCATGAGGACAGGTGTTGAGAGGGACACCAACAGCCCGGCTCTTGAGGACAGGTGTAGAGAGGGACACCAACAGCCCGGCTCATGAGGACAGGTGTTGAGAGGGACACCAACAGCCCGGCTCATATGAACGGATGTTGAGAGGGACACCAACAGCCCGACTCATGAGGACAGGTGTAGAGAGGGACACCAACAGCCTGGCTCACGAGGACAGGTGATGAGAGGGACACCAACAGCCTGGCTCATATGAACGGATGTTGAGAGGGACACCAACAGCCTGGCTCATATGAACGGATGTTGAGAGGGACACCAACAGCCTGGCTCATATGAACGGATGTTGAGAGGGACACCAACAGCCTGGCTCATATGAACGGATGTTGAGAGGGACACCAACAGCCTGGCTCATGAGGACAGGTGTTGAGAGGGACACCAACAGCCTGGCTCATGAGGACAGGTGTTGAGAGGGACACCAACAGCCCGGCTCATGAGGACAGGTGTTGAGAGGGACACCAACAGCCCGGCTCAAGAGGACAGGTGTTGAGAGGGACACCAACAGCCCGGCTCACGAGGACAGGTGTTGAGAGGGACACCAACAGCCTGGCTCTGAACGGACACCAACATGTTGAGAGGGACACCAACAGCCTGGCTCATATGAGGACAGATGTTGAGAGGGACACCAACAGCCGGGCTCAGATGAACCGATGTTGAGAGGGACACCAACAGCCCGGCATGAGGACAGGTGTTGAGAGGGACACCAACAGCCCGGCTCATGAGGACAGGTGTTGAGAGGGACACCAACAGCCCGGCTCATGAGGACAGGTGTTGAGAGGGACACCAACAGCCTGGCTCACGAGGACAGGTGATGAGAGGGACACCAACAGCCTGGCTCATATGAGGACAGGATGTTGAGAGGGACACATATGAACAAACCAACAGCCTGGCTCATATGAACGGATGTTGAGAGGGACACCAACAGCCTGGCTCATGAGGACAGGTGTTGAGAGGGACACCAACAGCCTGGCTCATGAGGACAGGTGTTGAGAGGGACACCAACAGCCTGGCTCATGAGGACAGGTGTTGAGAGGGACACCAACAGCCCGGCTCATGAGGACAGGTGTTGAAAGAGGCACCAACAGCCCGGCTCATGAGGACAGGTGTTGAGAGGGACACAAACAGCCCGGCTCATATGAACGGATGTTGAGAGGGACACCAACAGCCCGGCTCATGAGGACAGGTGTTGAGAGGGACACCAACAGCCCGGCTCTTGAGGACAGGTGTTGAGAGGGACACCAACAGCCCGGCTCATGAGGACAGGTGTTGAGAGAGGCACCAACAGCCTGGCTCATGAGGACAGATGTTGAGAAGGGCACCAACAGCCCGGCTCATGAGGACAGGTGTTGAGAGGGACACCAACAGCCCGGCTCATGAGGACAGGTGTTGAGAGGGACACCAACATCCCGGCTCATATGAACGGATGTTGAGAGGGACACCAACAGCCCGGCTCATGAGGACAGGTGTTGAGAGGGACACCAACAGCCCGGCTCAAGAGGACAGGTGTAGAGAGGGACACCAACAGCCTGGCTCACGAGGAC